TTTTCATGATCGACTGTCACCTCAGTTACATGCACAGTCACTAAAACCAAACACATTGTTGACTCATGGTTTGACCTCTTGGCTGTAAATTTTATAATTACTACCGTAACTTCTTCAAGGAATATAGGTTGCCAAATAGATACAAATTGAAATATCCACCATTTCCACATGAGCAAGCACTGATTTTATCACAAATTATGAATTGTATAAATCACATAGAGCTTTTATACACTGATGTCACAATTTGTCTTTTATATTCCTACATTTCTTCCATTTGTAAACTTGCCAACCTCTTATTGTAATACAAGTGCCAAGCATGGTGGCTAATCTAGCAACAATAACAATTTATTTCTGGTACATGTATATCATGTGTTATGTGATTTTTTTTCTCCAGATAACCACATCCCCATGATCCCCAGGGACACTCTAGTATCAAGTTTGGTGGTATTTTGTCAAAGGGTCTCTGACATATCAAGAATACATGCTCGTAATGCTAAGCCATGCAATCTTTTACCTCCGGACCACAAAATGTTAAGTTCCAACCAATCCTCAAGATAGCCTAAAAACATGCCACATGGACAAATTAAATCGAGGCGATTAAGAGTCTTGCATGCAATCATGCAACAATGAACCTCATTTGACCTTTGACCTACTTATGTGACCTTCAACTCCAGAATATCATGGAGGCCAATAAAGGGCATCTACCAATCAAGTATGGTTACAAACAGATGCAGGGTTGGAAAGTTAGCAACCCTAATTGATTTTTGCAGGTAAGATTTCACATTAGACTTCATTCAAATTTGTGTACAGTCACGGAGGATGGACGGAAGGATGCCATTTGGATCCCTTAGTCTCTGCTCGAAAAAAAGCAGTTCTCAAGTCAGACAATCCCAAATGTTCACTACAGAGGATTACATGGATTTCTCTAATCGGCCTAGTCTCCTGGCTAGGATCACATCAACTTGTGGTGGAGGAAATGGTGCAAGCCGGGGCCTTGTGTGTCTAGGGTCATCAGGGAGCAGAACAGCCTTCGAGAACAGTGGTCCTTGGTCCTGTTCTCTGCGTTCCAGTATCGCACCGATGAGTCCTTGTACATACATGTAGGGGTAGGTCTTGGGGACCTTCTCCTTCCGGGCCACGTAGTTGTTGGCACGCTTTGACCATACTGCAACATATCTGTATCATAAAATAAAAGAACATGCAAAATGTAACAAGTTGCATTATATGCACACTCATTCTTGTCAATTGGAAATGATTCATATCTCTTAAAGATAAACTTGAGTTCTGGTAAAAAAAGAAAATGAATTCTCACAGAATCTAACGAAACTTACACTGAATGTTCAAGATTACAAATAAATGTCATGTGCCAAACAATTTTGGAAGAAAATGTATACTGGCTGAGTAATGAGCATAGAAAGATAAGGAAATCAGGGTAGTACTAGCCCCGACAGGCCGACACCATGTGTGTTGTCCCATATACATCTTTCTGTGTAAGTGATTGTTATACTTTACCAAAACTCTGCCAAATTTATGATGATTTTGATGACTCCAGAACCTTGCATTACACACCAAGTATATTATTACACTGAATCCAAGTCCGCATTTAGGGTCCAAAATCAGCAGCATGATTGACAAACCATCAGCTTACAGTCCGTCATCTACATAATTTAGATGTGCGTCGTGTACAGGGACAACTTCTTTAGATGACGTCATATTTTGGCGATTTAAAAGGGGCGTTCCCAGGAAGGACAATTAGATATTTAATAATTTCCCCAAAATTGATAAATTTCATGGGAAAGAACTGCCAATTCGGATTGCCCTGTCCAACTACACAGGGAAAACAAAAAATCATGTTGTTTTTTTTACTCCACCCACTTTGGATTGCCTTGTCCATCTAAAAAAAAATGTACAAATAAAAATAGGAAAAACAAGAAAGAAAAGAAAACCTTTTTTTCTTTCTTTCTAATTTCCACTCACTTTGTATTGCCTTGTTCATCAATCTGGTCGGGCCTGTCCTTGTGTGCCATGTAGTCGATGACCGCAAGCAAATTCCTTGCCCGGTTTGCTGGGTAGCTGGATGGATAAGACAAACAATTGGTATTACCACTACCATGATGAATGAATAGTAAATGCTTTAGACAAATCTCAGACTCATTGGCCCGTAGTCACAAAGGAGGTTTGTAGGAGGTTTGTACAAACCATGGTTTGACGATGGTTTACATCTATGGAATGCTGCTCGCATACCGTAAATTGTAAATTAACATTGTTAAGAAGTATGGAGTTTACATTCCTTCTCCATCAGTTTACAAATGGCATTCCATAGATGTAAACCTTGGCCAAACCATGGTTTGTACAAACCTCCTTTGTGAATACGAGCCATTCACTTCAGTTCTGGATTTGTGTTGTAAATTATTGACTTTTAATTAAAGGTAGTTACATTTCCCTGCTACAACCACTCCAACTTGACTTAACATCAGGTACCGACACAAGTACGATACAAAGTCTGCTGTTTCAAGACTCTGCATGCATCCAAAAGTGATTTCAGCATTTATATAGATGTCATTCATAATTTCTCATTAACTTTGCTATTTGCTTCAAAATATGATATTGTAACTGTAACCGTACTGTAATGATATGTTTCAACTTTTCCACAATCTTACTTCAAACATACAAAATGATACTAAAAATACTTACTCAAAGGAATACCGCTTGGAAGCATACATCAGTATATGGTTGTGGAAACACTCGAGCATGCTGGTGTGCCTAAGGAATTATGAAAACAAAATAAAAACTGATATAAATGATAGGGCATTTCATTATTTTCATACCACAAAATCAATATTGAAAATCCCATGTCATACACATGAGCAAATAAGATGCATTATCTTGACCTGCTGACATGTCCCAATTTTATAGGTCATAACCGAAAAAGAGCTCAATCTTGCAAACATGTACGTAATGAACGCATTCTCATTAAATTCCTCTCAATTTACAGAGCCTTTCGTACATGTATACAGAATCCTACCTGAAGCGAGCAAATCAGCAGAGTAGGCCAAGTTCTCCATGAATTTGCGGTCAAAGGTGACTTGTACTATTCACCTGCTAATTCCCCTACTGCTGCTTGGAATTTCTTCGCTGGGGATGGATTGTGTTGTCTGTTCTTCATATCTGTAAAAAGTGAAGAAACGAAAGTCATTCACAAAGTAAAAAACATTCAGATTTTAAATCACCAAAAGAAATTATTTTGAAGATGGCATTCTCTAATAATTATCACAGCTAGCCAGATTTGGAATTTGCAGGACTAATAACTGATGCATTGGTTCTCTGTCATGTATGTGAAGTTGAGACACTCTTTGGTAGAGATAAATATAGATGAGACAGTCACATCTCAAGCAAGCTATAGTATAACCTTGTCGACTTTTAAAAAGAGCAGGATGTTTACCCGGTTGACTAGCCCTGCACGTCATCATTACAAAGAAAACTGCAGTTGTAACGAGGGACATTAAAGGTAGGGTCTATTACAAAGTTTTAGGAAATTTTGAAAATTGGGTGGATAGTGATTCTTTACAATTTTGATATATTTGGATGCCCCTGTGGAAGTATTATAAGCACTAGAAAATTTAGCTCCTAAAACACTTCTGCTTTCGAAAAAAATTGAATATAAAAATTTACCGGTGCTCCCGGTAAATTTTGATAAATTTAAAATAGCGCCTACGGTCGTACAACGGTAGCTGCTACCATAAAAATCCCGGAATATGTAGTTGTGATATATAATTTCAAAAAGGTAATAGCCAATCGGTCAATTGTAGCTTGTTGTATAGCTGAATTAATATATTGACCTTGAGAGAGAGTTATAGTATACCCCATAAAGAGATTATTATTTAAAATTTCATCACTTTAGACTCGATTTCAACGCGACAACATTCACTGAATATTGTAGGATCGCATATGCTTCCAATATTTCATCCGGAGGTCTAGTGGAGCCAGACGTAGTCTCAGTGGAACAACCGACGATATAGAGACTGAAGCTTTCGGTCTACTGTAGACCTAGGCTAGACTATCAATATCATATGATTCATGAAATCTGAATTAAAAATCCAAGGCAAGAGATAACAAAACGTAATTTCTTAAATTTGCCGATTCCATGCATCTAGTCTCTAGACTAGATCAAATTAAAACGGTAGGCCTACCCAATGCAGTGGGGCGTATATCATTTCAACTTACCTCTCAGTGAGCTGGCATGTCTATTGCATCCTCTAGACTCGGCAACGAGAAGGCCGCCTGCAGCTCGCGAAGTTTCTCCGCCGTACCCTGGCCTTGTTCACAGCCACTCCCGCGCCTCCTCTGGGCCGGATGGTCGAGCTGCCATTGCTTGTTTCTCTCCTTCCTCTTACCGTCTTACTTAGTCTTATTCCGATTTAGCGTAGCCTTAGCCTTGTCCTTAGGCTTAGCACTAGCTGAGTCCGAGTCGGCCATCGTCCGTGACCTCGAGCTCCTTTTCCAATCTCGATCTCGTTATCGTATTTCAATCAAAGCTTGTCTGGACTGTAGCTGTCTATTTAGCGTTCGATCGGCGCCGGTGATAATCTGATATGAGCTCTGTGTGTTATACTTTACGTGAAAGCAGCGTATTGGAATTGATCAGCTGTACTGTATTACTAGCGCGCGGTCGGATACCCGCCTGCTAGCTACCTGTAGTACTGTACGTACCAACGAACTCAAACACTCGTTGTAAATACGCTGGTTGTTAAATGACATAGAGGGAGCTAAACACGTAAATTCAAAAAATAAACCGTCGAAAGTCAAAAGTGATGTCCGGACGTCAAACACTTTTATATAATGTTTTGAAAGCAAATTGCACAACAATTAGAGCATTTGATTTGGAATTATTATCATCTCCCATGTTTTTTTCGATGATCTTTCATATGGTACTGAAATAAACCAAATTTGTTTTGGAGGGGCACTTTGGAAATTACCAATACTCAACTATACCTTTAAACTTTGATGATCATCATGTCACTTATGTTTCGTGCAAATCTGATCGATAAGGAGTGAATTATGGAATTATACCAAGCAGAGGATAACTATATTATCCAGGATAAGGACTCCAGCTTGTGGTGCAGTCGAGTGGACGGAAAATTAGTTCCACAACCAGGTAAAGTAAAGAGCGAGGCGAGGGAAATGCCATTGCATTGCCAGTGCAGTGGGACTGGCAGTGGCAGTGTCAATGCAGTGGCAGAGTTTTGTGCAGGCAATATGCCGGTGTGTGTGTGGCAGTAACTTAGACCCTCGATTATAAAGAAGGATAGATACAAGAAAGACACATATATTTGCCAAAATTAAGAAAGAAGGTAGTGCTAGTTCAGAATTCTATCCAGATTTTGACCTGGAACTAGAGTGAAGGAGGGGGTTAATCGACCGTCAACAGTTTTCGGCTGGTCCGTTGGATGCATGGTAAAATCCCTTTAAAAATACATCGCATAATAGCATGCCAGAGTCACTGAAGAACCACATTTGCAATGGAAAATATATCCTTAAATACCACGCTACCTGAATCTGAAAAATCAAGTATCTGTAAAGAATATGGGTACCATAAAATGAGCTTTATTTCAAGTATTTTTCAGATTTAGAGCCCGATTTTGTGTGAGTCGCATGCTCAAAAGTATCTCATCGCATGTATTAAATTAATGCAGCTGGACACTGCAGCGCACACACGATATCTCTGTCTAATTCAGATTCCAATTTCCAATCACCGCAGAGGTAGTTTTCGGCATGGCGAGCTCCAAGTCCGGCGTGGGATACCTGCTTTGCCCGCTAGTGCTATAGATCAGCGGGGAAACGCACAGTGCGCATGCGAGCTTACTATTGACTTTGTGCATGCGACCGTAAACTGTCTCGCTAGGTCGATGACTGTTTGCGAAACAGTGAAAATTGAAATGAATATTGTCATGGCATTTCATAATCTTTTTTCTAGGATTCTTTTTTGTTAAAATAATAATAATATTTGCTTCATGATTTGAACAAGAAATGATAATAAATAGGAAGTAAAGAGAGTCCAAAAAATAGGATTTTGTCTTAAGTGGCCGAAAACCCCCTCCTTTACTCTACTAATATGTAATAGTAGGGTGTCTGAATGATTTTTCAATTTTCAATTTGGGATCGTTTTTCACCATTTTTACTTAGATCTACTTACTTACTTACTTTAAAAGACGATAGGTCTAAGCCTGTTCATTGGTCCAGGATTCTTCCATGGTTACTGCTACATGTATGTGTAGAGGGAGGAGATTGTGTAATAACATGAGACAACAGACAACACCTAGACCAGCTCATACAGAAGGCTTGCATTCTTTGACCAGTGACTATCAAGTCTATTCTTAAATGAGTTGACCGACCCAGCTGCCACAACGTTTTCTGGGAGACCGTTCCATAGCTCCACGACGCTATTGCTAAAAAAGTATTTTCTTATATCTAGTCTTGAGAAAGACAAAGTGTATATGATAAGTCTTCGTTTTTAGAAAGAAAAAAAAAAAGAAAAGAAAATTGACACGAAACAGGTAAGAAACATAACGACTTTTAAATCATGACCATTATTTGAACGATTGATGAAGACTTAATAGTTGATTTGTTTGTATGTTTTAGTAGGGTACATTATCTTCACGTCAGAGTTCTGGTCAAAGTCTGGATAGACTTCTGAACAAGCGCCAAGAAGACTTAACTTTACAAGCCAATGACCAGTTTTTGTCTCCTGAAAGACCACCTGGCCTGCCATTTGCCTGTTCATAAGACATACATGTACTGTACATGTAAATTGATATATTAAAGCACCACCTCACAATGTACGGTAATTGTCTTTTACAGATGTGTATCAATTATTAATGATGTCTGGTGACAGATCTTTAACGTCACCATCCAAAAACATGACCTAAATGAACGAACAGCTAGCCTAGCCTAGACCAACTCACATAGATCTCCCTTATTTGTTTCTCATGACACTGTAACTCGCGGCGCAGCTCCCTGGAGTAAATGACATTGGTACTCTACTTGTAGTAAACTACATGTACAGTTAAACCTGTCCACCTACATTGTAGATGTCAGTTTCATTAAAGAATTTCCCATAAGAGATGGTTATTTCTGTGTAGTTCCAATGGCAATCCGTTTTTAATTGAAATGTAATGAAGAGGATTTATTTATTCTGTTCGAAATGAGATACAAATTACATGTACATGTACATGTACATCTAATTATTTTACTATTCATCAGATTTTTTTTAATTTATCAAATTTTTCTCATACATACAGTACACATTTTCTTAATTCAAGTCAGTTTCTATTTACATTTAATTTTAATTGGAAAGTCATTAATGTCATTTTAAAATATTTCTAATTTCTATGCAGTTACAGTACAAAATCAGCTTGCTTCTGTCTACTTTTAATGTCTCATAAGATCTCTTTTCTCACCATTATTTTGACAGGATCAGCCCTTGGTAATGCTTGGAATCCCGTCTGTCTGGGTAAAGTGTTTGGAGTGATCGGCAAACTACGTATTCATCCAGGTATGTAGAGTCAACAATACCCATGTCCCTTAAAGGGCAAATCCACTCTGATATGAATTTGATTTTAATAGAAGCATGTACAGTATAAAGTCTTTCGTCTATGGCTGATCGTCAACGAAACAGAGTTGAGTCTTTAGTCACTTCCATTTGTTGCTACGGCAGGCAGCCAGTGAAAACCAATTTGTTTAATCAAATTATGGAAATGCAAGCATACAAACAGAACTTAGTTATTCCTTGCTAATTTTTCCTGATTGAGGTGTCATATGAAAGGGCAGAAACTGAACTTTCTAGAAATGTAATTTTCTCTTTGAAATTCAGATACTGTCCGCCAAATGACTTTTTGGTTCCCTCTTTTCAAATTGATTTTAATCACTCATGCCTAAAATTTGCATCATATGAGTTGCATCAAATGAAAGAGGAGGACCTAAGCTTTACAAATTTGTCAGTTATTAATTACAATTGTGATTAAGCTATGATAAAACATCGATAATTCTCGGTTTCTGGGACACACTACATGTACATGTATGTTACAAAAAAAATTAATCTCAGAATTCAAGCTCTTGCTTTATGCCATCAAACAGAGCTTGATAAGACCTTTTATTTGATGCCTCATTCATCCTAATAGCCCCAGTAATAAGACAGTTATGCCAGTTTTTAACGCCTGGAAATCATGTATTTAATTGCTTTGCTTTGCTTTTTTTTTAAAACAAAAGTTGTGATCTCATTTTAAAACAAAAGTTGGGACCGATTATCGGGCCGTCATTTTTGCATGACATTTCACATTCCTCATAAAAAAAAAAAAAATTCTCATCCATAGATTTTGCTGAAATTTCACCAAAAGCAAATTCACATGTTAACCAATCATCCATCCTACATGTAGACCTTTTTTCTCATCCTGAATGCGGGATCAGGTTACAGAATGGCACTAAACACGGCTCTTGTGAAACAGTGCGGCAAAACAAACTGCAGAAAACATAAATCATAGAAAGTTTAGTATTAAAGGAAAGATAACAATGTAATTCGTCTCATCCAATAGAAATCATGAAACAAAAATCTAATCAGCCCATCAAAAGATCACATTTGCGTAGGCTATCCAAATGGTCTCCAATAGTGCATAACAGCCCCATGGCAGAAACCTTCATGGCAGAAGCGTACACATTGTAACGGTCTACATGTACACTATACATAGCAAATTGAAGAGGAGCTTGCAAGATATGTCACAGTGTTGCCAATATGTAAAAAAATAAATTTCCTATTTTTAATCAGATATATGACGGCTGTGCATAAGCGTGTAATTACATACAGGTAGTTGTGTACACGTCCAGGCATACAGTCAGATACACCTGTACATGTGTACATACATGGCCGCCATGTTATTTATTTTCCTGAAGTTTTCCTCCGAGTCCAAAGCCGCTAGTTTGGTTCTAGTTTCCAAGTGGTGAGTCGATGCCCCGGCTGTAAATGATTGAGCTCGCAGGGTTGGCATATTTCCCGCTTCAGAGGCTTATTTCCCGGACGCCGGGAAATAAGCAGTATTTACCGGTATTCACCGCTTTTTACCGGTATTTACCACTTTTTACCGGGAAATACCCGGAAATATATTTTTCCACTCACATGTTCATAGGGATTGTCCAATTTTGAACATAATAACAATGTGGTGAGTATGGTTGCATTTGTGTGTACTATTTGTGTGTGTGTGTGTGTGTTTGTTCGTGTGTTTGTCTATGTCTGTAATTATGTAATGCTGGAAAAAAATACAGGAAAAAGGTACCAAATATACATCTAATCTAGATATGATGTTCTTATTAAAGGGAACCAAAACCTTCATACTACATGTAAGTTACTTTTATTGTAAGTTTAAGATATTTGAATAATATCAGTGAAAAATTGAACAAAATCGGGCAAGGAATAAGGAAGTTAAAGCTTTTTAAAATGACTAGTCACTAGAGGGCGATATTCAATTTGATGACATCATTTGTGGACAACTCTCTATGCCTTTTGTACATCAAATTTCAAAAGTTTTTCGTTTTTTTCCTATTAATTTGTGTTCTTGATCGGATTTCATAACATGTGAAGTAGAATATCATTTTACATTCTATTATCTCAATCACAGAAAGAAGGAAAAACATGAAATTTGATATACAAAAGGCATAGAGAGTTGTCCAAAAATGATGTCATCAAATTGAATATCGCCCTCTAGTGACTAGTCATTTCAAAAAGCTTTGACTTCCTTATTCCTTGCACGATTTTGTTCAAATTTTCACTGATTTTATTCAAATATCTTAAACTTTACAATAAAAGTAACTTGTATGAAGGTTTTGGTTCCCAGTTGCTAATTACCATATTCATGAATACCTATTAATTAGCATATGCACAAAATGCCATTTGTTTGCGTGTGTACAATTTTGTATGCAGTGAGGATTTTATAAATCTGTTTGTGTGTTCCTACTATGAGTATTGTGCTGCTAGTGCTAATTATTTCAGAACAATATTTTCAGTTATGAGGCTAAAAACAAGTAAAATTATTGATAAATAGAGAATTAAAATCATATTTCCTGTTTTTTACATATTTACCGGACGCGCATCTTATTTACCGGACGGTATTTACCGGTATTTACCGCCGGTAATTACCGCCACCGGTATTTACCGCCCAACCCTGATTGAGCTATGGATATTGAAACAATATGGATTTAGTCACGTACATATTACATTGCAAAAATTTTAATTTAATGAAAAAATTAATATGTCAATGACTTCAGTTTGATAGAAAAATGTGTAACATATTGTTGGCATTTATTACTACAATGTACATGTAGATCTGTACAACGCATATGTTTTTAGTCCTATTTAATACAAGAATCAGGAGAGAAAAAAAAAGAAGAAAGGAAAATTAATATAATGAGGATATTTTGGACAGCTGTATTCAGAGACAACGCCTAACAGGAGAATGAAAATACTGAAAACATATACGAGGGAATTCATTTATTTACCTGCTTTTATTTTTCGATGGCTTTACTTCAAGTCACTGAGCAATTTTGGTCCAAATCTATCGTGTGATATCTGTACACTGTATACAATTTGTTTTGTACACATACATGTTATTGTTGACATGTCAGCCAAACACCTGCTCTTGTTTTCTCTGATTGATAGAAGTAATAAATAAATTTCAATTGTCAGAATGCATATTTAATGCATTTACAGTACATGTATGTATTGTTAGGTACAATGTAAGGCAAGCTATAATGTTTGTTCTACCTGACAACAACTAATTTTTTGCAGTTTGCATTCTGACTATTGATGTATAATTATAACAGATGAATGCAATAATTTGTAGCGAGGCACTTCACAAAGGCATGCATTACATTTGGTTCCATTACGAAATGGCTTATTCTGAGTTTACTTGAGAGTTGTGACCCCTCTTTCTTACAAAACCCTGGATCTGCCCATGTCTGAGCCAACACCACTTTGATAAAGCTGATCATTCAAGCCTGTGCTCATCAACTCACTATGAGATTAATAGAGTGTGAAATAAAGTCTGGGCCTCAGATTCTCAGGGTTCTTAAGAATACAATGATCAATTGGGATTTTAAGAGTGATCAATGGATTTAGTGGCCGAAAAGCTTTGATAATTTACCTTTAGAAATGACATGCACAGACTAGCTGGAAATCACCAAAAATAACTTTTAAATCAAACTACACTTTAGAAAAACCCACATATTTTAATCTAACTGTGCATACTGCATACTGGTAGTGCTTTTAAGAATACTACCTCAGGAGCTTTTGCAGCAGCATATGTACAGTGTAAATTTGTATCTATATATACTATAGTTTCTGCGCTTATGAATTTACATTCTGAATCAAATGATTAAATGAAATAAACTTCTAATTCTAAACCTAGGGTCATTGAACAATCTCTCAACACCAAGGGTGTACATGTAGTTGCATACCCAGTGTTTATGTGCACAAATCTTTGCACCATATAAAAAGCACTGCTATCATTGCAGAGTGATCACCAAACCTCGCTTGCATGGGAAGTCGAAATAATCAAATTCTTCACATGTAAAATGGCTGTAGATAGGATACTTGCACATTTGAGTTAGCAATGCACTTGCATACTGTATTCATGAACACCTGTACGTATCTCATGGGTATTTTCTTGGAAATGCTTGTGGCTATCGAATAGCCTCTCTTGGGCACTGTGCACTTAATATTGGAGCAACCCTCCAGGCCCTTGATATTAAAGCCGAGCTACACGTACAGTGTACATGCAAAATGAAAAGCTTTCTGCTGCCTAACCCACAGTGGAAGCAAGTGGCTTCCTCACTTTATTTAAATGATAAATCAGGAGCGCTCGGCATTATTACCTACATGTCCAGCTTTCGGCATGCTGTCTGCAGGCACTAGCTGTCATCAATTAGTGCACAGCGGGATCCTGAGTAAGTGAGAGACTGGGTAAGATTAGCCTGGGTGAACAGCCAACTGCTAATAAATGAAAGGAGACACTGCTCTCAGAACCCTGGTGCAATGTCACATTCAAAGCTTAATATTCTGATGTACAACATCTTTGTTTATATTCCATTTCCTTCATTCCTTGATCATGGTAAAACAATGAATAGGATTATAAGTGTACATGTACCCGGTACATTTTCAACTGAAAGGTTGTTATGGTTTACCCTGATCATTATATTTAAAAAATGACTTTCCAGGCTGTGTAAGAATGTTAGTTAAAGCAATTTAGAGTGTTTGCAGAACAGAAGTTCAATAGAGATTGTAATAATGATAATAATATTTGGCTCTTGTATCACATTCAAACCTCTCTAATCTATGCGCTTCCAAATTTGGAAATTATTACCTTGTCTTTAGCATGGCTGCCATTACGGCGCTCTAGCATTTCAAGGAATTAATTCCTGCCAGGTACCTATGTACCTCACCTGGGTCAAGTGTGGCAGATATAGATTAATCACAAGTGCCGCGGCCCTTGTGATCCACAGTCCTTTGACATATCCACTCTACCATGACACCTCTAGAAAGAAAAAAAACAACTTTTATCTACTACATAGCTGTACATGTACATGTACATTTGTATGCTCATCATTTTTTCAATTAAATTTCCATACCACCAAATGTTTTCAAATACATTTGATATGATAGATTGATACACTTAAACTATTGTAAAAAATGCTGAATGGCACCTTTAATATGGAAGCAGGCACAAAGAGCTGTAGCATGCATTATCCATTAGAACTGTCAGTGATAAATCTATTGATTTAGAATCATCCCTATTTTAGTAGCTTAACTGCACTCTTGCCTGGCATGAATATTGTACGTCACTGGTGAGAGTTAATTGATTTTACAGCCTGGAATGAGCGAGTGTAAATTTGCGATCATTAAAACCATTGCTCTTTTGACATTGTATGAGATGAACATATTGACAAGAAGAGCTCAATATTTATGTTAATAAATACATTTAGTATTCTATTCTTCTTTTGTCAACCAGACATTTACACCGCATGTTTATTACATGTACATTATGTGTTTTAATGAATTTCATCACATACTGTAATACGTTTGGACTCCTGAATACCGGTACACACCACAATACATACACTGCTCAACACCATAGGGCCTACTGTTTAATATGTTATGGAACATTTTAAGATTATGCAACCCTCTTTACTTTATCCATACAATAATTTAAAAGTAAGTGAAATTGTTATGATTAACGGTATGTTTTGTTTTTTCATAATTTGTTTAAATGTACAATGTACATGTATGAACATGTACAATGTATACACTGTGTTCTCTTGCCCAGTGTTCAGGGTTAAGTAAAACGTAAAAATGCAAGAAATAAAACAGAAAGTAATGATTTTCAGGTTTCAATCAGCCTATCCATTTTGTGTCATTATTGAACAATAATTCAAGTAATTTCTGCTTTGTTTTTTGTTGAGATTTTACCACCTTAAATCTAAAGACCAGTTATGGTCATGCGATTGCATTGTGAAAGAAACCTTGTGAAATCGATCAGAAAAGGTTGATCATATCTAGCATAGATGTACTTCAAGGTTCTGGAATCATCAAAATGATAAGAAATTTGGCCAAGTCTTCATAAAGTTAGAAGCACTGTACACAGAAAGATGTATATGGGACTACACACACGTGCGCGACACGTGCATTTCATATCTCTCAACAGGCGAGAGATACACTAATTTACCAAATATATCAATTAGTAGGCGGTTTCCCGTCAAAATTGTTATCATCATGTAATATTCAAAACATATTCTTTCACATGATTGGTAATAAGAGCTTCCATTTCATTTTTTGAAATTGGGGCGTTTCCAAAACTGGTCTATATCTTTAAAGAATGATTGAACCTGCCTTTTTGTGTTGTTCATGTACATGTAGGTTGCACATACAGTACAAGTAGTACATTTCGTCCTTGTTTTCACGAAGTGACGGTAGTGAGGAAAATCGTAACGCAAAGTGAATGCAAGACTTTGTAGTACCGGTATACAGCACAAAAGAACAAAAGTACATGTTTAATACATGTTTGGATTATTGTAAAAATAAACACAGCAGAATTCCATAATGTGAGAAACAAAACTTGCATACTTAATAAGGGGGAAAATGGGGGAAATTTGATTTTCACATGATACATGATACATGAACATACATGTATATACAGTGGTAATACAGTGCAGGCTGTGCAGCTGTACATATTCACATTCAATTTCGTATCTGCCCTGAGGCAATAGTACAACTAAAGAGAAAGTAATTTTTGAAACCTCATGTCTGTTGTCATGGAAACATGCCCTTTTATGTGACGTCTGCTTGGGAAGATCAGTCTGGAGTGCATTATTTGAAGAGCTACAAGTGAGAGAGAGACCAGTGGTATGTTCATATCTTTGGCTGATTGCAGAAGACTTTGTTCTTCTACAGTACAGTGAAACCTGTCTATACAGACCACCACCCAAGGGAGACAAGAAAAGGGGTCTTTATAGGCAGGTGGTCTTTATGTACAGGTTCCTTTCAAGGGAAACAACAAATGTGGTCTTTTTAGACAGGTGGTCACTAAAGCAGGTTTGACTGTATCACCAAATGGAGGGGATTTAACTATTCATTGGTCAGCTAAATTTCCAATAATTTTGCCTTTCCACTGCAAGGAAACATTATTTAAATTTACCTTGTTAAAATGATAGTAAACATTTATAATGCACCATGTCTGTCAAAAATGACACTCCTGGCGCAGTGGAAATGCTTCAAAAAGGTAAGAGTAGATTGTATGTACAGTACAAGTACATGTACAGTGTTTGTACTATATGTGTAGGAAGTTTTAATTACCCAAATAGAAATAGTATATGTTATCTGCTATTTTGCTCAGATGTGTAAAATTGTTCAAAGAACAGTCTTGTGGCAATTGAACATGAATATACATCGTACATGTACATGTAGCTGTTTGGTATTTAACAATGTCAGGGATTCATACAAGATTTAAACATTTAAAAAGAAGGGGTGCACAGAAATCAAGTTGTGTGAGAAATCGCATTACCTTCTTCTGCAGAATGAATGTACAATTCAAAGTTGTGGAAGAGGCCCTGCCCCATGAAATATTTCCATAATTTTAAGTATGGCAAAAGTAATGTATTTTACAGAATATGGAGTGTTTGAGAGGTCATACATGAGATGACTTGCATTTTTATACCACAATTTTTAAACAACACTTGATTGAGACTGTCTTTTTGACTTTTTCAATGCAGGTTCTGATAAATAAACACACCAAGAAATGTCATACCATCAACTCGTTCAATAGGATTTTGAGTCAATGTAAATACAAATTGTTTTGAATATACCTGTACATTCACTGTACATTGTACATTCCCCCAGTGCAAATGCCTTTCAAAAAGTAAGAAAACAGTACATGTATGTATTTGTATTTAGAAGTTTTAATTACCAAAACAGAAATATAACATGTATTCAAGAACAATTTCAAACTGTGTTTTCAACCAGTACTTTCATATCTGCATGAGATAACAATATTTTGATGTAATTCATTTGTATTTCCACTTTGTTGTACCATTATTCTATTAAAGCTAATATTAAGTGCTCATGAGGCGGTGTTACACAGAGGCCAAAAATCCGGATTTTAGTTATCCTCTTAATTGCTGTCTGTCCCCAATTATCCCATTAAAGATCCTCTAACGAAGCAAGAAAATTCCCCCTTTCAAGGGATTTTTCTGTGTGACACCGCCTATGGACTTAATTTGTTAAAAGAAACTTATACATGTACATGACATCACTTATCATCCAGTTTATTTTGAAGTGGTCTGCATGTAGATCAGCAAACAAATATCTTAATTGAAATACAAGGAATCGTTCTTTGTTACCTTTTTTATGAAGTGATAGTGAGATTATCTTCCCAAATTTTTATTGATCAATCTAATTCTAAAGAGTGACAGTGATTGCTAAATAAAGTTCTGAAAAGATGTAAAACTTTATCTATCTAGATTAGAATAAATCATATTCTTACAATCACTTCAGGAAGAGATCCAGGTACATCATAAATTTATTCCAACTTTATGGCCACCAGTGTACAATGTAAATGCAATTATTTGTGGCTCAGCAATATACAATATATATATGTACATGAATGTGTAGGGCTTTAGAAGACAAAAAATAAATTGATGGAACATCCGATAGCTGTGCAGTGATGGAATGAATAAATAAAAAAAAATCCTGTAGGCACCATGTTTGTAGGATCAAAACTGTGTTGCAATTCTGTGATGAAAATGAGTCCGAGCTTGTGAGATGGAGAAAGGGATGAAGAATGTATCCTACATGTATCTAGGCCCTGTTTCACAAAACATGTTATCAATCAAAGGTATCACATTCCTGTAACAGATTCGCTCTCAGCCACTCAAATGTAACAGTTATTGCAACTTGTTTTTAATATTAAAGCTTTATGTAACATGGCCCTGTTCCAGGTTGAGAAGGATTAGAGGAAGAAAGTGCTTATGAAGTGATAAAATGAAAATGTGCATCAATTAAAGGAGTAAAATACAACACTGCAGCAACAAAAAAGAGTAACTTTATATTCTTTTTTTGCATGGCTCGACACTATCAAGTGTTAGAAATGTTTACATGTATATGTAGACAATACTAGACATATCTTCCTTGTTTTCACGAAGTGACAGTAGTGAAAAAAAATTGCATTCACTTTGCGTTACGATTTTCCTCACTACCGTCACTTCGTGAAAACAAGGACGATATGCACTGTACATGTATGTAAGATGGAGAATAGAAATTCATGCTGGTGCAAAGAGAAGCATTCCAAGTGTTCTCTTGTTATTATGATCTTATATTGCAGAGTCGAAATGGAGACTGAACAAACAATTCGGTGTTGAGCCTTTCTGCCCTAGTACAGAAAGGTAATGCATGTAGCGTGCAAAAGAAATCACTCTGTTTTTGTTTGTTTTGCAACCCCATAATGATATCTGAAAAGGGAAACGAATGCTAGTACTTTAGGTGCGTCCTCATCATCTCGAGATTGCCAAATAGTCCGCTATTTCTGATTTGGGAAATAATCCCGAAGTTACAAATCGTGTCTTCATCAGCTCGAGATTCGACCTCGAAACTTGAAACTCGACCTTGAGAAATTAGCTCGAGATATTTGCTCAGCGTTCGCGCATAGTGCGAGTCTTCGGTGGTCTTCGGTATTTTGCAAACTAGATATCTTGGGATGACAATCCCGACCAAATATCCCGCTAATTGCAACTTTGGGCTGATGAAGACGCAAATTAGCTGGATAGTTTGCGATCGGGATAGTTCAAATAGCTGGATATTTGGCAATCTCGAGGTAGTGAAGACGGGCCTTTTGAGAAAGCAGACCTAATCATTCTGATGTTTTGTCATGATTTTGTTTCAGAGTCGGAATGGAGACTGCTTCTCATCCGGAGCCATCGTCTGGTGGGTCAGCTGCCCAAGGGACATGACGTCTACTGCATCACTCGCATTGCCGTTTTACCACTCTCACAAAATGGACATCCAGATATCGAAATTGAGGTATGGTACATGCATTGATAACTATTATGCAGCTCCTGAAATCGAATGCTGTTTGGCACTCTACTGTTTTTATCAATTCTTTTTGTGTTGGCTTTTTGCTATAATTCCTTTTTTTAAAACTCAGATGAAAACAAATATTACATATGTGCAATGTTTACTGCATTACTTGCATTGTCGGCCTGTACCTTCTATAAAATATGGGAAGAACATATAGGAAAGTATCCAGCAAAACAGAACTATCATTCAGTAAATTGGTAGAGGATAACATCCTTTCTTACTTGTAAAAGTGAAAGCACATGTATCGCTGCAGTGGTTAAATGCAAGTGTCATGAAAGCTTGGAGTGGAAAAAATGTCCATGCACATGTTTGAGAGAACATAAAATAGATTCTACCCTCTAAACCTTTTAGCATATTCCTACCTATCTGTATGACCAGCCACCCTAGGTTCTGCCTTGAATCTAGATTCTCCAAAAGCGTTTAATCATCCAATTTACGATAAAAGACTTTCTAACCAAAATTGCTCTTTGGTAAATGTCACGGCAAAAAAACTGTGGCAAATTGCTTCCATTAGACGAGCTTTGCGAACAGTATCTGTCCAGCTCGGAGCCAAATTGGAAACACATAGTGAATGTCAGCATAAAGTGGAGAAGTACATTGTAACTGCTCAAGAGCCCAACTTCAAATATTTCCTGAAGCATATCGAAAAAAGACCTGGACTTAATAATTTAGGCAATATACATGTACATGTACTGGGTATACTGCCTCTATTTACATTCTATCCCCTCATACACAATGGTCCGAATTCACAAAGGAGGTTTGTACCGGTAGACAAACCTAGGTTTATGTGCCTCATATAACGAAATTTGACACATTTCAGACCAAGGTTTGTCTGAACCTTGGTCTCATTGCCTTGTTTTCGTTCACATTATTAATATTCTTACTTCTTCCTCTTCTTCTTCTTGTCGTCCGGAATCCCATTCGTTTTGCACGTAGTGCTTGTCATTCCTATCTAGGCCCTTTTTTCTTGCTCGATTCCTTTCAAACTTCGTAGGCGTAATCTCTGATATCCAATCTAGGTCACCTACTTTTTCGTTTTCTGAAATCACTCATGCGTAAACGTCCAGGCGCCATTTTGTCCATTTCTGGTCCATTTCAAGGCCTTTCTATCTTCCTTCCTATCTCCACTATCCTAGATCCTACAAACTTTTAACAATTTTCTCTAGATAGTCTAAGAGATGTTCTTTAATCTGAGACATACATGTATAACCTGCCCTTCAAAATGCCATCTTCGTACTCAAAATTCAAATCTGAAACTGTCTCTGTCAACAATCTCTCAAATTCTTGAAAAATTGACCCCTAAATAATCTAAAACTGCCATAATTTTCTCATATAAATTCCGTTTTGTATTTAAATCTCACAGTATCTTTATCTCATAATTGCACATAGCCATGCCGAATTTCATGCTCCAATGGCTATGCAAAACATAAATAGCGCCCTCTAAAGTTCTGGGAATTGGCTTTCTTTCTGTGGCCGTATCTCCATTATGGCTTGGCAAACCCGTACCCTTTTTTGGATTTAGATACTTGAAGATATGCCCTTTCCAGCCATATACAAAATTATATACCGTAACACTGACCGACTTTCAGAAGAAAAATGCCCTCCAAATTCGCAATTTTCAAGAAAATTCCAAAATAACTTTAACTTGCTCTGAAATGGCGATCTTTATACCTACATCAATGAAACTGGGCAGGCATATGTATCCATATACGTGACAACTGTTTGCCAAGTTTGGTAAAATTCGAATATGTCAGCTCACAGTTATCGCCAAAAATGATGAATTTACTATGCATTATGTAATAGCGCGTTTAATGCATGCAATACATTGTGCGCGGATAACAGTAGTGTCAAACTGACCGCAATGAAGTGCCCTTTCGAATGATACCAAGTATAGTATATGTTCACACAAAAAATTGTGCGTAAATCGCATTTGAACAAAGGTCACTATACGAATTCCGCCGAGTTTCCACCCGAATCTAACACTTATCGGCTAAGACATCATTTTTTCAGACTGCTTTTCGCCCCTTAAACGACCATTTTTTCCCTTGAAAATTTGCAGTGACATGCCGAGTTCCAATACGCAGAGAGAGAGAAAAAACTATTTAACTCCGGTCATAATATAGATCCTGTACGTTTTCCGCCCATGCATTACACGCATTGTCTATGGGCATATCGGGTTCACGCTATCGGCCCCCAGAACGATCTTGATTGCAATGACGAACATGCACCAAATCCCATTGGTTTTTGCACACAGTGCTTGCGAGCCCTTTCTAGGTTCTTTCCCCTATCCCAATTTCTTTCAAACTTCGTAGGCATAGTCACTACCATCCCATCAAGGTCACTGTTGAGGCCTTTCTTTCGCCCTACCTATCTCCAATATCACAGAAGCTACAGACTTCGTACATATTGCTCTGGATAGTCCGAGAGAAGCTCTTTCGTTCGACACGTGGAAACATGGCGTCATTGCACGCACATCGTTGTGACACGATTGCATTTCTAGTTTCAACTTCTTTTCATGTTTCCTCTCCCCTTTCCATCATTTCTTCCCCCTCCTCTGTTTCATCATTCATTGCCAGGGGGTATGTGCCCCTATGGCCCTCTCTGATGTTTCATGTATACTTGTTTATCACTGTTGTACATTATTATTTGAAAAGACCATACATGATATGCTGGCTCTATGAGATACTTTGAAGCCTTAATTTTATCAGTGTTCCTGCTTGGATTGACTAGCTAGTACTTGACATGATTGATGAGACCATTCATCTCCATCTCACCATCTCATGTTTCATCTCAAGGACTCCACCTCTCTTGAGTCTTGTGGTCTGGGTATCGTTGTCATATCGAGCATGCAAAACCCTTGGTGATGAGGAATCGGAAGAGACACATATCCCTTCTCCAGTCTAATCTAGTCTACGAGCAGAGACCCTTGGTGGTTAAAACTTATGCCCTTTCTGAACTCTATACTTATATACGTGTACTTTTAGCTCTTCACAAATCCAATATGGTTTATGAACGACATACAGTGTACATTGGCCCTCTGCCAGTGTACAAAGCCGTTTCAGAAATCCGGTGCAGGGTCTGAGCAGTAGACTATAGATATGTCATTTATAAATATTAAAAATGGGGAGGGCCATGCAACCCACGTTTTGCTATCATCAGAAGCTCTTCCATATTTACCCATGTACTGTATGTAGCCCTTAGAAGACTTCACCCGCTGTCTCAATCAAGCTTATGCAATTAATCAATGTATAAAGTCACAACTCTCACATGGCAATCACCGTCTGGGACAATCCTCCTTCTCCTAATTGGCACTCACTTGGTATTTTAGAGAGATTCCAAATGATTGAACTCCTCAATCAAACACCTTTAACGTGATATGAAAATATTGTCCTTCATGGTCTTGTGTGCAGAGCATGCAGAGAATGATATTCCCCTTGATTAAATGTCAACACTTTCACTGCTACTCCTACTACATTTAGCACTGTTTGTACATTACACCCTTGAATTCCATTTTGTATTCTGAGGTAAAACAAAGAAAAGTTGGGTTCGATGAGTATGAATTCATCAAGAGCAACGATTTCAAAAAACTTTTTCCTTTCAAAATCTAAAATCCTAAAATGTCACATTGCATCAAATAGAATTGCCCCTTCAAAGGGACTTTTAAGATGCGTTTATCTCATGTTGTCAATATTGATATCCTAATGAAAGTTGATTATTGTTACTATTAAAAATAAATCTTTTGTTATTTAAAGGAATTAGAGGGCAAGTCCAACGCATTTTCAAGTTGAATTGAATAAATAGCAACAAATTCAACAAATAAAATCAGTAGAATGGAATGAATAAATTTTGTTTATGAATTTTCAAGTTTTCCCTTTTTTTTGACACACCTGTATAATTTTTTACCTTTACGATAACAATATAAAGTTACAGTAATGTTGATGTCGCACATAAATTCCTTGAGAATTCAAGCCATGTTTTACATTCCCCGAGCAGAAAAGTGATATTTTTGTTACATTTACGAACAAACATATAGAGGGATGACACCATCAACTCACTAATTTGTATACATCCTACGAGTATGTGAGACATATCATTGTTTCATGAGATTATGCAGAACTTTAAAATTCCTTAAATTTCTTATTTTTCGTCCAATTTTTATTAGCTTTTTTCACTGCTTTGTTTGTTCACCTTTTCTCTATTTATTCAATTCAATTAGCAAATGGGCCATTTAATGTCTCTTTGAAAGGGAAACTAATGGACACATTTTTTTGTGATGAGTGATTGGGCTCAGTTTCTTCAACCGTGCATGTTTTGTATTATTTTTTCCCCCACTCTTTTTCAAAACATAAACATCACTTGCCAAAGTCCATGTACTGTACACTATGTGGCACTTCATGGAAAATACTGGTAGGTTGGTTACAATGTATATGCTGGTATTTCCAAAATTCCAATAAATCATACTTTACTACGGTAGTCTATTCATTTCCTCTATTCAGGGCAGTGTTTAGGATGAATAACATAACAAAGATGCTGCCGTCCATTTTTTTATTCATACTTTTTCCCTCCACATGGATTTTATTGATTTTCATTTGCAACAAATTAACAAACATATATTGAAGGTAATTTATATTTATAACATATGAATGAAATTGACTACACAAGATACAAATATTTGTTGAACTGTTGAGTTAACAGAAGACAGATATTTTCAATAATGTATTCCTGATATTCATGAACAACAAAAAAAGAAAAAAACAATACAACAAACACATATTATCGTTTGATTATTGGGCTTTATACAACACCTACGTGGATCCTTGTCATTTGATTGGAGGATTGTTGATCACATGATATTCAATAGATGTTATATTGCACGGTCGTGCATTTTTGGTTATATGCGCCGTGCATTTTTGGTTATATGCAGACTGCGTACCTCTCAGCCG